GACTATACACTCTCATCGACATCTTTCTTGATTCTACATTTTTTGATATTATGAATTTTTAGATGATTGTATTTTGATACTTATGGTTGTCTTGACTTGGTTTTTTAGGAAACAATGTTTTTATTTAAATTAAAAATGAATATTTGGTAATGATTATGGGACGTTACAATATATATATATATATATATATAGTATATATATATATATATAGATATATATATATATATATATATATATACTTTATTATAAAACATATTAGTCATATCTTGAATTTAAAGAAGTATAACTTACAAAGTTTTTGCAAATCAATTATATATAAATAAATCATTAATACTTTTCAAAAGTTTGAAGTCTCGAATTTAGAAAGGTTATTAAGAAATTTAACTCCGAGCAAAATGAAAATTTTAAAATATTAAATTTATGTATATACATTAATTAATATTTTTTAAACTAGACATCGATGTTAATTAATTTACATCAAATGTATAAACAGAACATATTAATATAAGGTCTAAACATAAATATTTTAATTAAAAGTAGTAATTTTTTTATCCATAATAATTAATAATAAAATCTAAAAATTATTTTTCCGTAAAACAATTACTCGCCAAAAGAATTTTATATCGTCGCCGCTTTGCACGGGCACACATCTAAATATAGATATATATATATATATATATATATATATATAGATATATATATATATATATATATATATGTATGCAAACTGTAACATCCCAAAAATTTCAACAAATTTATACCTTCAAAACAACCAATTTACTAATAAAAGTGTTTAAAAAATCATTGTTTCCAAAACATTATTTAAAATCAGAGTCTTCCAAGATTCAAGCAGTCGTAAAACCAAGGGTGTGTACAGTCACGGTTTCGCCTTGCCACGGTCCTCCTAACTACCTGAAACCATAAACCTAAACTATAAGCACGAATCTTAGTGAGTTCCCGCAAAATAGCACAGCACAAACAAATCACATGCACAAACACTCATGATGGCTCAATCAGCCTCGGGCTGGAATACCAGACATGTCTACGATGGACCCAGTCATCCTTGGGATGGAATACTCTCGTATCATAAGCATGTTTGGTCCAATCAACCATCGGGTTGGAATACCAAAACATGTCGGGTCCAATCAACCATCGGGTTGGAATACCCCTGGCTTGTTGACTGATGCACGAAGTTGTCCAGTCTTACCATATACCATATCAAGCATGTCGGGTCCAATCAACCATCGGGTTGGAATACCCCAGTATACTATGGGTCCAGTCAACCATCGAGTTGGAATACCCCAGGACCACTCAACCATCGGGTTGGAATGCCAATCTACAACAGGTCATGTCATCCTTGGGATGGAATACCCTTGGGCCCAATCAACCGCCGGGTTGGTATGCCCCCTGCCTGTTGTCTTACGCACAAAGTAGTAAAGCCTCAACCACTAAAAATATGTGCCTATATAATAGAAAACCATATAAACAGTCTACAAACAGTCAGGCAGATCTACAGATCACTAAGCATAGCATCATCCTATATACCAGGATACTGATCTAACAGATCACTACATCTCGATGACATACTATCACATAATCGGATATCAAATCCAAAGGGCCGGCCTTGGTGCCTTCGACCTGCAAGTACAGTGAGGAAAACTCACCTCAATCCGTTGATAATCAAATGCATGCTTGGGTTACTGAACCGGATAACCTCACACCAACTAACAAAATACAATCTTAATCAATAATTATCCCGATAATTTAAAATCCGAGGCCCACTCCATAAACCAACTTCCTAAAGGGTAAAAGACCATTTTACCCTTTTCTTATTTGGCCCAAGACCAAGGCCCAGCCCAATCACACAAATGCCCAAGATCTCAACTCAAAGCCCAAAATGGCCCAACAAGGCCCAAAACCACATCTCACGTCATGACCAGTCCTGGTCACGTCATGAGAGTTCACTCAAACAGATCCCAACTCATCACGACTTAGCCTAGCTAACTTAGCCAAGGAAAACTCAACGGGGTTGCCCTCACGTCGTGAACCTCAAGCAAATAACCAGAAACGGGACCAAACGCTTCTCACGTCGTGAGACCTTGTGGCTCACATCATGAGAATAGTATGAGGCTAAAAATCCAACTTTTAAGTCCTTAATCCATTAAGCTTTCAATCCTAGTTCTTCCAGAAGCTAACAAGGACTCCAAAGGCCACTAAAAATGATTACTTGATGGGCATGCATGCCCGAAGCATGTCCTAAACCCATCTTAGGTCAAAATGACAAGAAATGACCCCAAACTAAAACAAGATTCATAAATTATAACCATTCTTCATATCCATAAGACTAAATCACAGAGAATGACGCATTGATCCATAAAGTTGCCAACTTTTTGGATCCCAAACATGCAATCCATCATAAACATGCAAAAGGTAGCTTAGAACTTAGATCTAGCAATTTGAGCTCATAAATATTGGATCTTGGACACTTACAATGGTCCAAAATGTGCACAAGATGATGATGATGAAGCCTCATTGCTGAACCAACACTTTAGAACTTCTCCTTCTTCTTGTTCTAGCCACCAAAACACTAAAATGGATTCAAAATCACCAAGATGGATAAGGTTAGGGTTTTTTCTGAGTTAGGGGAAGGTGGAGGCTGAGAAATGAACCCTAAAACCGAGTTAAGGGGGCTTAAATACGTGGGAAACCCTAAAATTTTGTGGGCTTGGGCTACAGCGAATCTCACGTAGTGAGCTCTTATAGCTCACTTCGTGAGCTCAGTCCCAGATAGAATCTTCATGCGGTCCTCCTCAGGTCGTGAGCCTCCATGCCTCACGTCGTGAGGACCCCTATTTTCCAAAAGTCCAACCTTTTTACCCTCTAAAAGCCTAATTCGATTCATCCAAGAAAACGGATGTTACACAAACCTTCAACAAGAAACCATTTTAAACCATGAAAACAAGGAACTAATCTTGACCGTTTGAAAGAAAATGATCAATGGGCAAAAACGGTATGCACATTAAGAGATTTAACGCACACGCACGGGGTCATAACAAAAAAACCCACTTTTTTCGTTTTTTTATGGCTATTATTGTATCAAAAAAAATAATATACTGAAATTCAAGGTTCTAAATGGCGTGAGGTGTGGCGTGGCGGCAAGGTCAAACCTCAAGTTTAACGAGTCATGGCATTTTTCAAGGCGTGATATAAGGCGACAATTTTGTAATAATTTATAATTATATTACCACATAAATATAAGTTTATATTAAATATAACTACTTTTTAGAAGTGTTATATCAATAACTAATAACAAAACGTTAACAAAAAACACAATACTTGTATCCCCGATTAGAAAAGACATAACAAATAGCATAAAACCATGTCTCAAACGAAAACACGCGTCATAACACGCCATAACGCGCCATGTCACGTCATATCACGCTTTGACACGCGTCACGCCTAACAGCAACGTTATGAAGTTTTTCGTAACGGTGAAGCCACGCCTCACGCCTTGGCACGCGCCATGGCGCGCCTTTTAGAACACTGTAGAAATTCATAATTTTTTATCATCTTTCCATAGACATCAATAATATACAAATAATGAAAATTTGTTTTATTTCAAAAAAAAATCGTTTTATTAGTTTTTTTAATATTTATGATTGTTTTTTATTAAAAAAAATAAAATAAATATATCAAAATTCATAATTGTTGGTAGTCTTTAAATAGATATTCATATGGATGTAAAAAAATTAACTCATTTTCATCCTGTAAATGTTGTGAATGTTGAATACTGAAGAATATATATATATATATATATATATATATATATATATATATATATATATATATATTTCAAATTCATAGTGTGAATAATAGTAAATCAAACTCATATTGTTAATCTTTTAAAATTGAATTATATGCGGTTTATATTCAGAATGTGATCTAATTCACTTGTGAATTTTACAAAACCAATTTATAAGTAATCAAAACATTAAAGTATTGTAAAACTACAAGGAAATATACTTTGATTGACATGAATATTTCATTAAATTAATTTTTGAATGATCAAACGTGATGAAGTAAAATTACATGCAGATCAGATTCACGGTGTGAATCTACTGTGAATCTGATCTGCAAAGTGAAAAACAAAAAGTATATTTTTTTACATTGATTTCAATGTCTATTTAAAGAGGATAAAAAAATATGAATTTTGATATATTTATTTTATTTTTTTCGAAAAAAATTAAGTGTAAAGATTAAAAAAATAATAATAATAACAAACTGAAGTGAGTTTTTTTTTTCCGGAAATAAAAATTTCGTTTTTTTATATATCAATATAAATGTTTATGAAAAAAGGATAAAAAAATTATGAATATTTCACACAACTCGAGCATCCATCCACGATATTCAAATAAATTCTATAAAGCATAAAAAAATTATTGTAAGGGCTTTTCGTTTCAAAGCTTTTTCATGTCGTTTGAAAATGTACAAGCTCAATCAATGGAGTTTTGTTTACTTATTTTGTATATTTTTAGTATTGGTTTATTTAGTACTCTATAAACTGATATAGTATAACCCATAAATAAGCTTTTAGAAATTTTTGCTACAATGAAAGTTTGTGAAACTTTGTTGTTTGTTGATATGCCAATTATAGTGACACCAAAAAAGCTTATTAAAAAAATCTCCATTTGTGTTACTATTAGCCAGTTACTTTTCATAATCATAAGAAAATAATGAGATACATAATTAATAAACTAAAAGGCTTTTACTTTAAAGGTATATGATGTTTACATCTTTTTTTAAAATGGTGGGTTTATGAGACATATGGAAGTTTGAATAGTTTAAGGAATCACCAAAAGTCAGATTTAAGGGAAAAAAAAATAAAAAATAAAGAAAAGAAAAAAGGAAAAAAGGAGGCTGGTGTACGTTTTCCCTGGGTGATTGTTTACCCGCTCGACTCTCCTACCCCATTTTGCGTTTTCAACTTGACTCCTATTCAACGATTATTTCTCTATAAATACCATTAATATCTCTTTCTTACTCACATACAGAAAGATGGCGATTAGCGATGACGAAGTTGCTATGGCGACAGTGGCACCATTGGCACCAGTCACATTTCAACGACCTGTTCGGAGTGACCTTGAAGAATTCTTTCCTAAGCCCTGTAAGTTATTATACCTTCATGATTGATGAATTAATGTTTCTTTATCTCAACTGATTAGTTAATTATGTTTTTTTCAAAAGACATGGCTAGAGCTATGGCTGCACCAGACACGGAGCATCCAGATGGCACACCAGATCACAAAGCTGGTGGTATGAGTGTCCTCCAGCAACATGTCGCTTTCTTTGATCAAAACGACGATGGCATTGTTTATCCTTGGGAGACTTACACCGGTAAACACCAAATAAAACCAACTTCCCGAATGTTTGATATGAATATTATATATATAACGATGCTCTAAAGTCTAAACTCTTTCAGGGCTTCGAGATATTGGGTTGAATGTACTCTTCGCTGCAATCGTGGGATTAGCTTTCAATGTAGTATTTAGTTACCCTACCCGCAGAGTAAGTTGATGTTTAGTCTATATGCTTTCAATCCTGTTATCAACTACATGCAAAGTGAGGCTCATGTACTCTACTTATTCTGATTGTTGTTGTTTGGCTGCAGGGTTCCCTTCCCAATTTGCTGCTTCCAGTTTACATAGAAAACGTACACAAAGGCAAGCATCCAAGTGATTCTGGAACATATGATACTGAAGGAAGGTGTGTAGTACTCTCAAAAAAAATAAAATAATACTGACCCCAATTTAGAAGGCAATATATATAACATAATAATAAGTTTTTTTTTAGGTATCTTCCTGTTAACTTCGAGAATATGTTTAGCAAATATGGAAAAACATCCCCAGATAAGCTAACATTGAAAGAGCTATGGAATATGACACAAGGAAATCGTACTTCATTCGACCTTCTGGGATGGTTTGTGCTTAGATCACATTAAACAAAATCATTTTGTGCATTTTAATTAAATCGAGTATGTATTAAATATATGTGTTCGATGTCATCATGTCAAGCAGGATATTAGAAAAGGTGGAATGGGCGCTTGTATACCTTATAGCTAGAGACGACGAAGGTTACCTTTCAAAAGAAGCCATGAGAGGTCTCTTTGATGGTAGTCTCTTCGAGAAACTTGCCAAAGCGAATAAAAAGACGGATTAAAAGCTATCATGTCCTTGTGCCAAACTAAATAAAATTGTACTCGGCTACAAAACCGTTGGTATCATTATATGTATGCAATCTACCTATGTGAAGTGGACAATTCCGTATCTATTCCTTATCTATGTAATTCACTAATTACAAGACACTAGATATTTTATTACATAAGTAAATTATCTTTTCTTTGTTGAATTATTTTAGGAAGATGATCAAATAATTTAATTAATAAACGAAAGAAAGATTATTTAATATATTAACGAAAAAAGAAATGATTTGTTAGGCAATTATTGGGAAATCTCCAATAATGTTCAAAAATTTTGTTTCAGTTTACGTTTTAGTCTTAAGTTAATTTTATTTTTTTTACAAAAAAGTCCTAAAAACCGACAAAAATTTGCATTTTGATCTTTTTTGACCGGTTGAAACCGTGCGATAACAAATTAATTTGGGACTATTTCGTAAATTGACCCAAAATATTGTGACTTTTTGGTAAACAAAATATTATGACTTTTATACAAACAAAAACCTTATTATTATTATCATTATTTTATTAAAAATATAAATAAGTATACTATTTTTTTAAATTCATTATTACTAATATTGTTAATAATACATATAAATTCATTTAAATGAAAAAAATATATATATTAAAGACATTTTTTAAGGGTGGAAGTGGAAGGGATGGTGATGCTTTAAACATTGAAATTATGAATGTCTGTTTATATATTCTTATTTTGTATATGACCATTTCATATTTGTTATTATTGTTTCAACTCAGAATCTAACACTTCAAATTTTAAAAGAAATTGTCAATTTGTAACCTAATTTATAAATAGTTTAGATAAAAGGATTTCTCACTTTGTATATAAAATTGTTTAAGATAGAAGAATTTTCTTTTCGAATCCAACATATCCACTACAAACATCTACATAGGTAGTCCATATCAAAATTCAAAAGTATTAATTACAATATCTTGTTTAATAAAAAATAATATGATATATTTTGCTTAATCACACTACATCTACTATGTTTACAAAAAAAATCGTAGGAATAAAATAATGAAAAAGGGCAACAAACATGATGGTAATTCAAATACTTACACACAAGACATACACACATAGCACATGCTCACACATTAATACATTTGGTAGCAGATCTAATCATAATCTTGATCTGATCTCACTTGTGGACCCAAACTCAATTCAAGAAACTATATATAAAAAATGTTCGCTTACAAGTTGAGAATGATAAACAAAAAATTAAGAATTTAATGATAATATTTATAGTCCATGACACAAAATCACTATTTATAAACAATTTTAGAAATAGACAATTTCTTTTAAATTGTTAAGTGTTAATATTCAGAATTGAAAACAATAATAACAAATATGAAATGACCATATACAAAGTGAGATTATACAAACACAGATTCATGATGATAATGCTTAAAGCATCACCATCCCCTCCACCTTTACGCTTAAAAAATATCTTTAATTTTCTTGTTTCATCTAAACGTATTTATATGTAATATTAATAATAACGAATTTAAAAAATAGTATACATATTTATATTTCTAATAATAATAATAATAATAATAATAATAAAGTTTTTTGTTTGCAGAAAAATCCTAATATTTTTATTGCAGAAAAATATCAATATTTTGGGTCAAATTACGAAATAGTCCCAAATTAATTTGTTACAGGTTCCAACCGGTCAAAAAGGATCAAAATGCAAACTCTTGCCGGTTTTTAGAACTTTTTCGTAAGAAAATAATAATTTATGATTAAAACGTAAACTATGCCAGAATTTTGGAACTTTATTAGAGATTTCCCGACAATTATTAACTGGAAAAAATCGATATTAGTGAGAGATAGTCGATTATTATTCAAAGAATAAGATATTGTTATGGAAACCGGCCAACTGATGTCGGATTGATATACGGTTGGTTGCTCTACAGTTTTACTATCTTTTATTTTTTATTTGTCGATTCATTGTTATGTCATTTTTGTAATACCTTTCTTTCACCTTATGAAATACTCACCTCTCATTTCTTTAAATCCTTTCAATTTCCTCACTTTTCTTAATATCCAAATATATAAAAACTAGTTTATAATCCGTGGGAACTACGGTTTCAAAATTAATTAAACTTTCGTACTAAAAACTCAAAATTATTAATCAATTATTTTAAATAAATTATTAATTAAGATATATTTTTTAGTTATCTAAAATTATAATCGTTGATTTAAATAAATACGTGACCTTATAATTTGTATTAATTTTATTTTAATTTTTATTCTAATGTTATTAATTAGTGTAATTAGAGTGAAAAATTTGAAATTTGAAATTTGAAATGGAAAATCAATAGGTTGACAACTAGAAACATTAATTAGGAGGCCTAATAGGATGACACGTGACAAAAGGAGAATAAACATATTCTTTTGTTAGAATAGGAAGATAATATATCAACATTATACTCTATTTATAAATAATTAAAAACAACGAATTTTGATATAATTTTCCTATTTTTTTAATATGTATATAATTTAATAAAAAAATTAAACAAATTTAAAAAAAAAAAAAATCAAAAGGAAGTAGGATGTGGAGAAATTGAGTCACACGAGAGATCACTACACCACCACACACCAAGTGGTGTGGTGGTCACCACACCACTGCGATGATACATTACCTCACTATGGTGTCAGATAGAAGTACTCCTACCAACCTAAAGGTGGACATTGTGGCAAGCGGATTGAAGGAGGGAGGCGGCAGTACTGCCAATGTGGCAACTTCGAGCAAGAAATGGTACCGTTCGAATGGTGTTTTGTAGGTTCTTCAACCCATTAAGAAATGCATCTTCTTTATCTCTCTCTACTCTCTATCTATTCTTTCTTTCTTTTTCTTTTTATTCACACACACACACACCCACACACACACACACATATATATATATATATATATATATATATATATATATATATATATATATATATATATATTTGAATTAAAAATATGTTATGTTTTATTTTATTTTTAGTTTTATAATTCAATTATAATAATAATATTGATGTGGTAAGTGTGTTGGGAAATATATCATTTACAAATGTTGTGGTTTTTGAAAGATTTAAGTGAAAGAAAAGAAAAAAGTTAATGTAAAGATGATATAGCAGTGAGTTTAATGGGTTGGAAGGAATCCACTCCTTCTACACTAACAGTTGAATCAATCACCAAGTGAACTCCGATATTTAAAGAATCAATTTTTTATAGAATATAATATAAAAAATTTAAAACTTTGATATAAATTATAAATTTATAATAATAATAATAATAATAATAATAATAATAGTTGAACATAAACTTGAATAGAAACATGTAGAGTAATACGTAACTTTAGGAACATGTGTGAGTCGGTCACACGGTGGGTGATAGGGGCAATAACCTAGGTCCTATCGTTCCAATGGACCCAAAAAATTTCCTAGGTTATGTAATTTTAGTATATAATCATTAGTCTATTTTAAAAAAAAATAAGATAATTGTTTTTTAACAGCCAGTTAGTGGTTAGAAGTTAGTATCACCAAGTTAGTAAAAGTCACTAACGCCCGGACTAGAACTCGGGACCTCAAATCTAAGAGGCAAAGTGTCTACCAAGTAGTCTAGTCCATATTGGGAAGAAAAAATAAGATAAATTACATGAAGTAGAAATGAGCCAAAATGTAACATCCGGGATTTACCAGGTATTAATATTAATTATTTTATTGAGTAATGGGTTATTTTGGTTTGGACCAGGACCGTTAGGCTTCAAGAATTTGGCTGAGAAGGGTTGTACGCTAGGCGTACTATGCCAGGTACGTTGGGCGTACTATGCCAGGTACGCTCAGCGTACTCAAGAGAGCGGGTCGTGGAGGCCATGTGTAATGCTCGTAGATCCGGGCTAGTCAATTTAGAGATAATAGGGGTCGAAAACGACTTTTCGACAAAAGATTATTTAGAATAAATAATCTTAACCAAGTTGTAGAATATGTCTCAAGGGTTCCGTACATATAAAGAACGTCGAAATCCGAGTTATAACGGAGAAGTTATGGCCCGTCGAAGTTTTACGGCAAAACCGGCATGGCACCGGGAGACGTAAATAGTGAATTTATGATAGAAGACTTTTTGGCCTTAGTGATCTAAACAAAAGTTGTAGTATACGTTAAACCGAGAGCGTGCATAAAAAGAATGCCCAAATCTGACTTCGTATGAGGAAATTATGAATTTTCTAATATTTTGCAAAGCAGTGCACGGCCCGAAATTCGAATTTTAGATCGAGCAGTTTTTAGCCTACGCAACCTAAATGAGATTTGAATATCTCATTAATAGGAAGTCAAAGATAAAAAGAAAGACGAAAACGGAGTCCGTATGAAGGAGTTATGAATTCTTTGCGGTCATTTAACAGTCTAATCTCCTCCTACTGTTAAATTTAAGATTGGTCGAGAATTAGCCGACGGAGTCTAAATAAAAGTTGTAGATATTGTTTTTACCTACGCGTGGATATAAAGAAAGTCAAAAACGAAGCTCGTATGCGAAAGTTACGGGGTTTAGAAGTCGGCAGGGTGCTGTGCGAAATCGGGTGACGTGGCTGAATATGGGACAAGGCTTTCTCCCCAAGGCAAGCCACCAGGTGGTGACACCTGGCCATGGACTCGACGAGCAGTACCTCTTAATCGAAGACTAGAGCAGGATTCCAGCCTATAAATAGAGGTGCCAGGTTCCCTCATTCTTCACACCATCCCAACTTCACTTTCTCTCTCTATACTCTCTCTCTAGCCTCCCTTAAGCCCCCTAAAGTCTAGGTAAACCCCCCTAGCACCCGAAGGAAGCCCCAAGGCTCCCGGAGTCCCGAGAAAAGAGCCTTTCGGCTCGGGAACGCTGCTCCAATGAAGCCCGGTTTTGCGAAAAACCCGCTGTAAGTGAGCTACGTCTACCCTATCGTTAGTATATCTTATGTTTCGATATAGTAATGTTATTAGGACCTTATAGTAAGTATTTGGGCTATTATTATGAGTTATATAAGTTTCGTTATAATATCTTTTTAACCACCCGCGGTACGGGGAATCTGGTTTAAAGGGTCGCATAGGGTTGTTGGATTTCGGAAGTGCTATATGCCAAAATGGTCCTGCCCTCCGGTGTTTTATGTCTG